GGGTCATTGTCATGCTGGAACACCCATCCACAATCTATCTTCAAGGCCCTGGCTGAGGGAAGAAGGTTCTCACCCAAAATTTGATGGTACATTGCCCCGTCCATCGCCCCTTTGATGCAGTGCAGTTGTCCTGTCCCCTTAGCACAAAAACACCCCCAAAGTAGAATGTTTCCACCACATTTGACAGTTGGGATGGTGTTCTTGGGGTCATAGGCAGCATTCCTCTTCCTTCAAACACGGCGAGTTGTGGCCAGATGAGACCAAAATCGAGCTCTTTGGCATCAACTCAACACTTCCAACCAGTCCTCCTCTGCAACATTCAGATGTTCAGTGGCAGACTTCAGATGGGCCTGGACATGTGCTTTCTTGAGCAGAGGGACCTTGCGGGCACCGCAGGATTTCAATCCTTGTCAGCGTAGTGTGTTACCAATTGTTTTCTTGGTGACTGTGGTCCCAGCTGCCTGGAGATCATTGACAAGATCCTCACGTGTAGTTCTGGGATGATTCCTCACTGTTCTCATGATCATTGACACTCCACGAGGTGAGATCTTGCACGGTGCACCAGACCTAGGGAGACTGACAGTTGTTTGGTGTTTCTTCCATTTGCTAATGATTGCACCAACTGTTGTCACCTTCTCACCAAGCTGCTTGGAGATAGTTTTTTAACCCAGTCCAGTGTAGGTCTACAATTTTGTCCCTGACATCCTTGCGCAGCTCTTTGGTCTTTGCCATGGTGGAGAGTTTGGAATCTGATTGTTTGATTGCTCCTGTGGACAGGTCTCTTTTATACAGGTAACAAACCAAGATTAGCAGCACTCCCTTTAAGAGACTGCTTCTAATCTCAGCTTTTTACCTGTATGAAAGACACCTGGTAACCAGAAATCCTGCTGAATGATAGGGGATCACATACTTATTTCCCTCATGAACATGCAAATCAGTGCATCATTTGTTAGACATGCATTTCTTTTGAATTTTTTGTTTAAATTCTGTCTCTCAGTTTTACAATACACCGAACATTTGAATTTTTAGACTGATCATTTCTTTGTGAGTGGGCAAACATTCAAAAACTGTATAATAAAGTTCATGTGTGTCCAAAAAGAAGTGAATAAATTAATCTGAACAAAAAGCTCATCATCCTCTTACAGTCCACTGTACAGAGCTCAAACTGGGAGAGGGATAAACAGCAAAAGAAGACGATCAGTAGCACTGCAGTGCAAGATACATGCTGATAGGGGAAGAGCACAGTGACTGAGAGGTGAAATTATTAACGTAAGGATCAGATAAGTTTACCCTTCTCAAGTGTCCTCAACCAACAGATATGGTATCATTGCTTTGAGGGGCATTGAATATGGACTGAGCCTCTTGGATGGTAGTGGATTGGTGTTTTGTGGTGATCCACGGCGCTGGAATTGTATGCCATCACCTCCATTAGAGCTACCATTGTGCCTTTCCAGAACTCTTATGATTTGTAGGCCAATTTAGAAATGAGAAGATTTACATACACAGTGTGGTGGTGCTGGAAAGGAGACTAAAGATTGCACAGATTTTTTTGTTCATAGATTTGTTTATTCGCTTCTTTGGATACATGAACTTGATTACACATTTTTTTTCAACATGAACTTTATTGCACGATAGTGGTGAGGTTTAATATACACTGCTCAAAAAAATATTAAAAGGAACACTTTCAAAATACGTCAGATCTCAATGGGGAAATATATTATGTTGGATATCTGTACTGATATAGACTGGGTATTGTGTTAGAAAAGTAAGGATGCCCCATCATTTGAATTCAGCCCTCTTTGATGAAAATGAACATTATCAACCTACAAACACCAAAAAATCAAAGTGAAGAAATGATTCAGCAGGCTAGTCCATTTTGCTGTGAAATATTTGCAGCAACTCAAAAATGGTACACACTACAATAGAAGTATTTATGGCTCCCACATGCTTGTATGTATGCCTGACAACATTGGGACATGTTCCTAATGATACGATGGACGGTGTCCTGGGGTATTTCTTTCCATATCTGGACCAGGGCATCACTAATCTCCTGGACAGTCTGAGGTGCAACCTGGTGCATGCATCCTGCAGCATCGGATAGACCGAAACATGATATCCCAACCGAAACATGATATCGCAGAGGTGTTCTATTGGATTTAGGTCAGGCGAGTGTGGGGGTCATTCAATGGTATCAATTACTTCATCCTCCAGGAACTGCCTGCATACTCTCGCCACGAGGCCAGGCATTGTCGTGCACCAGGAGCAACCCAGGACCCACTGCAACAGCGTAGGGTCTGACCATGGGTCCAAAGATTTCATCCTGATACCTAATGGCAGTCAGGGCCCCATTGTCTAGCCTGTAGAGGTCTGTGCATCCCTCCATGGATATGCCTCCCCAGACCATCACTGACCCACCACCAAAACGGTCATGCTGGATGATGTTACAGGCAGCATAACATTCTCTACAGCTTCTCCAGGCCTTTTCATGTCTGTCACATGTGCTCAGGGTCATCTGTGAAAAGCACAGGGCGCCAGTGGTGGACCTGCCAATTCTGTTGTTCAATGGTAAATACCTATCAAGCTCCATGGTGCTGAGCAGTGAGCACAGGTCCCACTAGAGGCCCTCAGGCCACCCCCTCATGAAGTCTGTTTCTGATTGTTTGGTCAGAGACATTCACACCAGTGGCCTGCTGGAGGTCATTTTGTAGGGCTCTGGCAGTGCTCATCCTGTTCCTCCTTGCACCAAGGAGTAGATACCAGTCATGCCGATGGGTTAAGGATCTTCTATGGCCCTGTCCAGCTCTCCTAGAGTATCTGCCGTCTCCTGGAATCTCCTCCATGCTCTCGAGACTTTGCTGGGAGACAAAGCAAACCTTCTGGCAATAGCACATATTGATGTACCATCCTGGAGGCGTTGGACTTCCTGTGCAACCTCTGTAGGGTCCAGGTATGGCCTCATGCTACCAGGAGTGACACTGACCCGAGCCAAATGCGAAACTACTGAAAAAAAGTTAGAAAAGAGGAGTAGGGACAAAAAAAAAAAAAAATGTCCATGGCCTTCACCTGTAAAACCATTCCCGTTTTAGGGGGTCATCTCATTGTTGCGCATCTAGGGCACCTGTTGTGAATTTCATTAACACCAAAGCAGTTGAAACTGATCAACAACCCCCTCTACTACTTACCTGACCAGATCAATATCCCAGGAGTTAACACTTATTAAGCAGAGTATAACATCAAGTCAATTCATTTTTTTTGAGCCATGTATAAAATGTAAGGAGGAGCCATACATGCCCGAGACGTCACGCCACCGGATCAAGGAGGTCCGGTAGCCCCCATAACTATCCAGCTGGTCAGTTTTTCTAAATTGTTTATGAACAGTTTTGCTGCATGCTTTGTCTACATTTCATTGGCGATAGCCTCCATTTGCTTTTATGTATGTTCATCACTTTTAACCATTAATAAAATAATTAATATTTTGACCTACTACACTATGGCCACTATTCTCTGCTCCACATCGAGCATTTAACCCCCCAGGACCATATGGTGACCACCCTGAGGCCCAGAGGAGAGTGACTCATATAAGCTGACCCCATCGCAGCTTCCACCAGTAGAGAAGATCTCTTGAGGCGCCAGTATTGTGGGACAGCCTGTCCAGTGTGAACTGCATGTTCCACAGGATAAGAGGGGACCTCTGGCTATTAATATTGCGCTTACCTAATGCGCATCTGGTGAGTGCGCATTTCTTATATTTCCTCCACGGTTTTGACGAGTGCCTCACTGTGAGTAACAAAGTCACCATTTCATCCATTTGTCATTTATCGGAAATTGTTCCTATGGACTTCATACTGTCTATTTGAGGGTGTGGCCAGTCTTTGATATAGCACATTTAATTTGTTTATTAGCGCTGCACTTTTTCATAATGTATAAAATGCTGCACTCAATTTATATATGTTCCTGATTTTTTTTTTCTTCTTAACTTTAGGTGTTAACAGAGTGCAAGCTTGCTTTTTGTTGATCCGTATAATCTTTTATTGCACAGTGACACTTATTACGATTCTTACAACGAAACTAAATTCACCAATTTAAGAGTTTTCCAAAGCAGCTACAATCAAGGGATGCCTTGAATGATAATTCACTGGAGCGCAGGGCTGTGGAGGGTGAGGAAGGCTCTCAGCAGATCACTGAGCCAGGTGCCGCTGCAGACTCTGGAGTGGATTCCAACTTAAGTCAGGATCTTTCCCCAGCTTGGACCGGCTAAATGACTTCAACCCGTTGTCAGCTGAAAAACGGGTCACAGGATTACAGAATGAACTGCACTCCTGTGATCCACAGAGAAGTACAGCCTAAAGAGCTTTGGCTGTACTTCTCCTTTAAAGACTCTGGCGCCATAGCGGACCACCTGCGCAGCATCATGAAAACTGCAGATCATACAGCGGCTAAGATGGCAGCTTCCTTGGCTCTAAACGATTGGAGGGTTTAGTTGTGCTTTAATGGCAACATACAAATTTCATCAGCTCCAGATTTTAATATTCCAATTCCATGACAAACTGCATTCACATACATAGCAATTTGTTTCTAGAAAGCGATGAAATTATTATACATATCTAGTAGCCAATGATGCATTTGAAATATAAGGTTTCCCACCAGTGTGGTGGGAAGGGGGGTATAAATTTGTATAGCAGCGTGCCGCAGATGATGAACTAGACTAGTAAAGAAGTCTTTCATTGTACAAGATGGTATTAGTCTGCCGCAAAAAGTAAAGGTATTTTATATACTACAGTAATGTGGTCGCAGGCTGATGTGCCACTATACAGTTATTGGAAACATTTTCACAAAGTATGGTTTTAGATGCCACAGGCAAAGCTGGGGAATAGTGCCATGTTATTTGTGAAAATGCACAGAGGTACATTTACTAAAACTGGTGCCTTCAGAATCTGGTGCAGCAGTGCATAGTAGCCAATCTAATTTCAGCTTGTTAAAACCTGGAAGCTGATTGGTTTCTATGCAGAGCTGCACCAGATTACACACTCTCCAGTTTTAGTTAATAACCCCATAATAGTTTGGTAACTTACCATGGTTATATTGTTTCCATTTAGCAGAATTTGATCGAGTTTTGTAATTCGTCTTCCCTCAGGTGTGATCTCACTAAAAAGTGAAGAAGAAAAAAAACATCATATTAACCCCTTATTGACTAAAGGTAAAACAAATCTTAATGCATAAACACAATTTTCCATCTTTAACATGTGCTCGCAAAACTACACATCACAACTGTGCGTATCCAGGTGGATTTTACCTTGGTTTTTTTCAGTACAAATTGGGGTTTTTTATGGTGGTAAATGGTAACAGATATTTCCTGATTTTATTTTTTATCAAGGGAAAACTGGCCCAAAATTGAACAAAAAAAAAAAAATCTCTCTCTCTCCCCCCCCTTCTCTCTCTCCCCTCCCCCATATATATATATATATATTTTTTTTTTTTTTTTTTTTTTTTTTTAATGTAGCTGTATATTTCTTGCTACTACCATAAACTACCACCAAAGAACAACCCGAAATAAATTCTCCTGCTGATCACAGCGATACCACATGTGTATGTTATTTATACCCGTAGTAAGGCCCAGAAACAATAGTGCACATTTTTTTTTATCCTACCAAAAACACCCGACACTAATTTTAAAAACTTTTTTTTTTTTTTTTTTTTAAATCCTGCCCCAAATTTACTGATCATGACCTTTGACCCTGACTTGACCCTAACACTGACCTAGGTATAACATTGATCTAGTTTTACTACACACATTTGTTTACATTCTCCCTGCATGAGAGAGAAACAAGGTTTCTTGCCCCCATTCAGAGAGAAATAACAAAACAAAAACTAGAAAAGTTACAATTTCTGGGGAAAGTGAAGTGTTCTTGCCTCCACCAGTAGTCTACAACTGGAGTGGGTGGAGTGGGCGGAGTAACTTGTGTGGTTGGACTGGGCAGAGCAACTGTGTGGAGTGTTTGGAGTGAGTAAAGATAGTGAACATTACACTAACCAATTGATTGATCAAATTTAAAAAGTGCACATGGCAAGCTTGATAGAATGAGAAATGCATTTCAACTTTTAAAAATTTGAGGTGGCTAGAGTGGAGTTTCAATGAATGTCAATGGGCAGCGTGAGTTGCAAACAAATGGTCATATTGTGAAAACTATCAGGGCTATGGCTTAGCTGTGGACATTTTTAGTGGCAGCAGGGATAGCTGAACGTTTTGATATAAGATTTGTGTAGGTGGGCTTGAAAATGAGGGAGTGATGGCAGTTTAGAAATCATGTCCTGATTTTTCAGCTCACACTCTAGCTTTTGTCAGCTCCCACTCTAGTTTTGAACATTCCGCCATTCATTCCTATGGGACCAATTTCACCACAAAAACGCCGATATTTCATGAACCATTCGGCGAAACGTTCCACAAAGTCCCACAACTCCTCCCACAGTTTTTACACTACATAGACAGTAATATACCGAAACGTGCGGATTGTTCCCGATTGTTCGGGAACAATCCGCACGTTTCGGTATATTACTGTCTATGTAGTGTAAAAACTGTGGGAGGAGTTAGGGTGTAAATTTGGCTATAATAATAATATATATGTGAGATAACAGGAAGTGGTCGCCATGCAAGAACACTTAAAAACACAGGGGCAGGCTGCCCAGTGAATGATCACTGTGATAGCCAATCAGAGGCTATCACAATGATCAGGTGACCCATTCCGGAGACAGCCCAATATCTGTGCTAGACACATATATTGTCTAGCACAAGACAGGAGCAGATGTGCTCGCTTTTGCTGTATCCTATCTGTAGCCATTTTTTTTCATCCCTTCTAACATTCTGCTTAAACTTTGTGATTTGTACAGTACTGCTTGGACCTGAAGAAGGGGACATACCCCGAAAGCTTGTCCTCAAAATTGTATGTTAGTGCAAATAAAAAAAGTATCACGGACAGTACTCAATTGTTTCTATTGCAAGCACAAAAATTGAAAAGGCTACACGCCAATAAAAAAGTTTTGCCTGGAGACAAGATTTAAAATAATTTTGTTTACTGACATTTTTACAAGCCACACACAAACCTGACAAGGGTCACACCGATCTAAGGAAGCGATGCTTGCACGCCCTCCGGCTCCAACATTTTTTTCATCAAAACATTTTGAGGGGATTAAAGATTGACATTCATATAAAACCTAACTAAACCTACTCCAACCCCCATTCTAAGGCTATTCTATCTAACCCTGTAAAGAAAAGATGGCTATACTTACCTATTGTGAAGCTGCTCCGGTCTCCACTGGCAGCTTCTGTGTACAGGAGAGACCATCACCAACGACTAGAAATGGCTAGGATAGGACGTCACCCATAAACTTACTATGGGGCATCCACTGTCGTCTGCTCCTCCTCTACACAGAAACCGCCATTGACAGCTGATCCTGGGACCTGACCAGCTTCACAATAGGTAAGTAGACAGATCTAGCTAACCCTGTAAAGACAAGAACAGCCTTAGAATGAGGTTTTTTTTTTCCAGATTGGTAAATGTGCTAGCTTTTCACATATACTCACAATTCTGTGACATCCTCTAGGACCATATCTGGAATGCAGGGTAAAGGATGAAACCAGTAAAGAAGAAAAAAAAAAAAAAGAAAAAAAAAAAAAAAAGGGAAACGCAGTAAAAGTAAGTAGTGTGCTGTCAATTAGTTATTCTTCAATGTAAATTCCAAGCTGTGTAGGGTTATCAGTAGTGGACCAGCCGCTGCCATTTTATTACCACCACTACAGTACATATGTAGTAAAAGGTGTTTTAGTGAGCGCTACCTTAAAACAAAAGTGAAAATGTGTATAAATATGTATACACAACAAAGTTAATAAGCAGCTGATACACCAAAAAGGTAACCAAAAGAAAACCTCCAATAATACATGTATATCCAGATAAAATGGTGCAGCGCTAAATAATAGTACACAATATGCTAGTGCAAACTCATACGGGCTAGCCCTTATCCCTATGAATACGTGCATCGCACGAAACGCGTCAGGGCAGCAGCAACAGGACACCTAACCACCGCTGGTGGATACCCTGGAATATATGGTCAGTAACTTCTTTTAAAATCTTTTTATGTACCCCACACCAACCAACCCTGAATAAAGGTACCTTAAGCAGTATCACGCTATGTGGTCTCTCATTGGGCACTCTGTGTGAGTGCTATCATTCGCAGTGCCCATCTGGAGGAATCATGACCCTGGTGGGGATACCTGGTAGCAGTTTCTGGTGACCTTGCCTCTGTGGAACCGGGATGGTGATCTGTGGGTAACCCGATCCGAGATTTGATGACCGATCTATGGCCTGGTGACGCAGGATTATATATTGCGTATTTTAAACGCACATCTGGTGAGTGCGTTTTTCACCTATTTGTGTGGTTTGCACCTATTATCACACCTTGGATCAGGACGTCCACTCACCTGGAATTAGGATCTCTCCATGATCCGCACCATCATATTGAACTTTTTAATATTTATTGATCACCATCAGAGTGACATCACGCATGTGTATAAGTTTGCACTAGCATATTGTGTGTATTAATCGTGTACTATTATTTTAGCGCTGCACCATTTTATCTGGAACTACAGTACATATGAATTGGGTAAACCCAATTGCCTCAACTCCCCGCAATACTTAAACATAAGGACAGGTTCACATCTATCCATCATCATAATGGGATAACATGCATTAAAATGCAGGTTTTAGCACACAACACAACTCACTGTACACATGTATGGTCACTCATTTTGAATGGTAGTGCAGCACACAGAAAAAGGGAAAAAAAAAACACCTGCAAAGTGAATGCTTTGTGCATGATGTTGTGCATTGGCACACTGAGGGCCCATTCAAAGAGTACTGGCTGCATCTTCGCAATGCAGTAGCATGCATTAAAACATTACCGGTGTGGATGGGTCCTGAAGTAAATCCCTGCATCCTTGACCACAACATACTTACTCTGCCCCTAAAATAGGACCCAAAAGAAAAAAAACTAACCTCTTGTCCCGTATACTATCCTCATCCTGTCGATCCTTTGGGGAAACTACTTTGACAAAACATACCAGCACCTACAGTCAGGTCCATAAATATTGGGATATGGACACAATTCAAACATTTTTTCGCTCTATACACCACCACAATGGATTTGATATGAAACCAACAAGATGTGCTTTAACTGCAGACTGTCAGCTTTAATTTGAGGGTATTTACATCCAAATCAGGTGAACGGTGTAGTAATTACAACAGTTTGCATATGTGCCTCCCACTTGTTAAGGGACCAAAAGTAATGGGACAGAATAATAATCATAAATCAAACTTTCACTTTTTAATACTTGGTTGCAAATCCTTTGCACTCAATTACATCCTGAAGTGTGGAACACACAGACATCACCAGACGCTGGGTTTCATCCCTGGTGATGCTCTGCCAGGCCTCTACTGCAACTGTCTTCAGTTCCTGCTTGTTCTTGGGGCATTTTCCCTTCAGTTTTGTCTTCAGCAAGTGAAATGCTCAATCGGATTCAGGTCAGGTGATGGACTTGGCCATTGCAGAACATTCCACTTCTTTGGTTGCTTTTGCAGTCTGCTTTGGGTCATTGTCCATCTGCACTGTGAAGCGTCCAATGAGTTGTGAAGCATTTGGCTGAATATGAGCCGATAATATTCCCGAAACACTTCACAATTCATCCGGCTGCTTCTGTCAGCAGTCACATCATCAATAAATACAAGAGAAGCAGTTCCATTGGCAGCCATACATGCCCACGCCATGACACTACCACCACCATGATCACTGATGAGGTGGTATCTTAGGATCATGAGCAGTTCCTTCTCCATACTCTTCTCTTCCCATCACTCTGGTACAAGTTGATGTTGGTCTCATCTGTCCATAGGATGTTGTTCCAGAACTGTGAAGGCTTTTTTAGATGTCGTTTGGCAAACTCTAATCTGGCCTTCCTGTTTTTGAGGCTCACCAATGGTTTCCATCTTGTGGTGAACCCTCTGTATTCACTCTGGTGAAGTCTTCTCTTGATTGTTGACTTTGACACACATACACCTACCTCCTGGAGAGTGTTCTTGATCTGGCCAACTGTTGTGAAGGGTGTTTTCTTCACCAGGGAAAGAATTCTTCGCTCATCCACCACAGTTGTTTTCCGTGGTCTTCCGGGTCTTTTGGTGTTGCTGAGCTCACCGGTGCGTTCCTTCTTTTTAAGAATGTTCCAAACAGTTGTTTTGGCCACGCCTAATGTTTTTGCTATCTCTCGGATGGGTTTGTTTTGTTTTTTTCAGCCTAATGATGGCTTCACTGATAGTGACAGCTCTTTGGATCTCATCTTGAGAGTTGACAGCAACAGATTCCAAATGCAAATAGCACACTTGAAATGAACTCTGGACCTTTTTATCTGCTCATTGTAATTGGGATAATGAGGGAATAACACACACCTGGCCATGGAACAGCTGAGAAGCCAATTGTCCCATTACTTTTGGTCCCTTAACAAGTGGGAGGCACATATGCAAACTGTTGTAATTCCTACACCGTTCACCTGATTTGGATGTAAACACCCTCAAATTAAAGCTGACAGTCTGCCGTTAAAGCACATCTTGTTTGTTTCATTTCAAATCCATTGTGGTGGTGTATAGAGCCAAAAATGTTAGAATTGTGTCCATGTCCCAATATTTATGGACCTGACTGTAGTTGACATAACCAAACACTCATGGTTTAGGTAGACCAACTGACCCTGTCAACTAAGCACTAGACTAGAGAATTATACCTTGCATACCAAAATGACAGGTGGATTTATCTCAAGTTACTAAATAATGCTACAGTGCAAAACATCCATGTAAAGTTTGCAAACACTAGCATAAAGAAAAGAAAAAAAACCAAAAAAAAACACCACACACTTCTAAATAACCAAATAACAGTTTTGCAATTACCACTTAACTTACCAGTTTTGCCAAATTACCAGTTTTCACAATACTTTTAGTGTACACCTAAATCCACTAGAATGTTGGCACAAATGGTAGTAACTACTGCCGACACAAAACCCTACATTAGATTTAAAACATGGCAAAAAGCACCATCTAGAGGCGGTATGAGAGTATCAAAAGCAGATTCAACAGCAGTGTTCATTTTAATATCAAAGGATTTTAGTTTTAGTCACAGTCTTGACTAAAATGCCATTTTAGTTTTAGTTGTATTGTAGTCATCTGAATTGTTTTAGTCGCATTTTAGTCTACAAAAATCTCCATTACATTTTAGTCAACTCAAATCTAATGGGTTTAGTTAAAACCTCATTATTTAAGCATTTCTTTAGAATTTTCAAACTCATTATATACTCCTGGAGTAAAAAGCAAAATAACCTATTTATGGTATTAATGCCTGAAAATGCACTACAGACACAGATGTAGCCGTTATGATATATAACCAATGTTCATTTTGACATCAAATTTCAATGTGGTTTTATTTAACAATTTCAATACCGGGCATCTTACCCCCTTCCTGCCCAGGCCATTTTTCAGGTTTCAGCGCTCTCCACACTTTGAATGACAATTGCGCGGTCATACAACATTGTACCCAAACTAAAATTTTAGCATTTTCTTCACACAACTAGAGCTTTCTTTTGGTGGTATTTAATCACCGCTGGGGTTTTTATTTTTTGCTAAATTAACAAAAAAAAGACCAAAAATTTTGTAAAAAAAAAAAAAAAACACGTTTTTCTCTTGTTTCTGTTATAAAAGTTTACAAATAAATAATTGTTCTTCATAAATGTAGGCCGAGATGTATTCTGCTACATGTCTTTGGTGAAAATAACCCAAATTAGGATGTATTATTTAGTTTGTAGGAAAGTTATAGAGTTCACAAACTATGGTATAGATCTGAATATTGATCAATCCTGAAGTACTGACAGCCAATCTAATTTCTTGAGGTCCAAGAATGTCAGGACAGTACAGATATCCCCCAAAATGTCGGATAGTACAGATATCCCCAAATGTCAGGACAGTACAGATATCCCCAAATGTCAGGACAGTACAGATATCCCCCCAAATGTCAGGACAGTACAGATATCCCCCCAAATGTCAGGACAGTACAGATATCCCCCCAAATGTCAGGACAGTACAGATATCCCCCAAATGTCAGGACAGTACAGATATCCCCCAAATGTCAGAACAGTACAGATATCCCCCAAATGTCAGGACAGTACAGATATCCCCCAAATGTCAGGACGGTACAGATATCCCCCAAATGTCAGGACGGTACAGATATCCCCCAAATGTCAGAACAGTACAGATATCCCCCAAATGTCAGGACAGTACAGATATCCCCCAAATGTCAGGACAGTACAGATATCCCCCCAAATGTCAGGACAGTACAGATATCCCCCAAATGTCAGGACAGTACAGATATCCCCCAAATGTCAGGACAGTACAGATATCCCCAAATGTCAGGACAGTACAGAGATCCCCAAATGACCCCTTTTTGCAGAGTAGACAGTCCGACGTACTTCATAAGAGGCATGGCGAGTTTTTTGAAGTTGTATTTTTTTTGTCATAATTTTTCAGAA